TGGACTTTAGTGTAGTGGAAGCAAAGTCGTCCCTTCTTTATCCAATTTCCCGTGAACGGCTCTGCAAAAATGGTAGTAGTCAAATGCTGTGCGAGTAAAACAGTGCTTAATAGCGAATAATTGTCGCCTTATTAGGCTCTTCGTCCTTCTCTCTAGGCTGCTCGTTCAGTTTGGCGTGCGATTCTCGATCTCTATCAGTCCAATTTGGCCAGTGAAGAAGCTCGTATAGAATGGCACTCCACGCTCTATCAGGTCAATAGCGTTCCCCCTTGATGTTGTTTACTACTTACTTGCATGTCAGTAACAAATGGCTTACAACCGAGTCCTGTAGTCTGTCCGATGATTCGTAAGTATCGCCTTAACTTTGAAAATGCCAAACTCGTTACAACGTGTATCATGCATTTATCTTCCAAATGTCCTTATTGTAGAAAATAATTCCTACTTAAATATTATAAGCAGAATATTAGGCTTTACCTCTCATCTTCCAGAGCGCATCCAAGCTCTTTGATCTCGAACGCCTTCGATTGAGCACATTGCAAGAGGCTCTTGAATTCTACCGATCAGCAATTACGGAATCCGTGCAATTCATTGAAAAAGCCTTTCAAACTACTAGGGTAAGAATGTCTCCTATCCTAACTTGGGGATGTTGTCTCTGACCCTTCCATCGCTACATCGGAGGTGGTAATCGAGTCAGGTTAATGGTATTTAATTCGCGGAGGGGAATCGGTTTGAGTACTGTTTATCTGGGTCTCTTTTTTATATTGTTATGCGATCGCAATAGAATTTGTTATAAATATTCTTTATTTCGTGCTGAGCCATGCATGCACTTCTTAAATGCTTCAAGCTCTTTCTTCTCGGCCATTCATTCTTAAACCTATAGCCGAATTTTTTAGGGTTTAGAGATTTTATGGCTGCTTTAAAAATTTCATCTCTTGCTTTATGCTTATAGGACTTGCGATTTAATATAATTAAGACATTTGTTGCAGACACAAGTTTAGATCCCATCGTTACTTCTCTTTCGGCAACTTGGTTGCCAGACTTAAAGGGATTGGATTGTGGGAGGAAGTGTGCAAATATTCTCTTGAGCTTACAGCAC